TGTTCGCACTTCGAACTGTTCATCGAAGAGACATTTGAGAAGAAGTTCACGTATGCGTGATGCAAAAGGGCGAGCATTGAACAGATTGCAGAAGATCATATGCTGGACAAATTCAATAGCAGCATGACGTGCGTGCCATTTGGAACTTGTGCACACCTACACATTGGAACGAACAAAACTGGTTTGCAGAATCAAGTTCCGTTTATTTTCGATACATACATATTCTATTTGTTCGATGAATGCTTCTATAAAAGGAACATGCAAGTAAGTGACAGCAGTACACATTCGACTGAGTATTAAACGGTTTCGAATGCTTTCATCATTGGCCACAATACTTTCGATGTTGCAGAGCTAAGCAAAACAAATTCATCGGGAAAATGTTTTCCACTAAGAAAAAAAGATTATATTAATATATACATCAGGAAATAGCCGAATGATTCCGTGTTTTATTGGTTGTAGAGATCTGCCTGTTATTTCTATGCAAAGTTGAATTACTAAACAAGACATGAAATAAATTGTTTTTAATAGTAACACATATCGTCGTTACCTGTTTCGATAAAGTTCCGTGCTTGACAAGCTTTTGGATCGATCTCCACAATTTCATCAGAAATATTGGCTATAAAGAACAAATTTCTGCAAGATTCGGAGTCAGCAAAAAAAATCTACCGAGAGGCGTCTTTTCACAGATGTCCATTGCTTGTTGCAATCGTTCACGTATGCCATCGAAAAACACATTGACACTGGGATGGCGTGTTGCTTGACCATTGGGCAACGTTATGTCGTGGCCAAGTGATATGCCAAGAACACTATGATATAAAGAGAAAGATCCCGTGGCTAAAACTCTGAAATTCATCTCTTACGAAGCAATGCATTCTCGTACGGCTTTGTATGGGTGTTCCAGTAAGTCTTTGGCGTGGACATTGATAGCATGCCAAACTGCGGGGATGCGCCATTCGAAATTGCTCAGTTGTTCAATTAGATGCCAGCGAGATGTTTCAATCAACGCGTTTGCTGCTGAAGGAGTGTTTATCAAAGAACGCATAAATTCAACAGCATGATACATTCGTCGAGGATCTACATCTGCCTATTGAACAGAAGAACTACTTTGTAAAAATATTTTTTAGACACTCAGACTGACCACAGCAAACCGGAAACACAAACACCAATTATTAACTGCTTCTGAACTAATATTCATAAAGGCTTCGTTGAGAAATGGTGTGAGCTTGGACCAGAGTTCATCAAGCTACAAGTACATCATATACATAGATTGAAATACTGACAGAATCGCTCACCATTTCTACCGTCCAATATTTCGATCCACGAATCATACCAGCAACAATTTCGGCGACCACTCGTTGAATTCCTTCTTGTTTCTCTTTTATCTTTTCACGAATAAGTGAATACAATTGTTCCATGAAATTATCGACGAAGACCGAGCCAAAATTTCGAAGGAGACCCTAGAAAAGTTTCACATTGATAGTTTCCTTTCAAAAATGCGTGTAAATATCTTCTTTTTCTTTGATATGTATTATTTCACCTTAAACATTCGAAATCGATGCACATCGAAACTGATGTCTGTCTCTTTATCCAACACCATAAATTGAATGGATTGTGCAATGAAGTTTTTGTCGATAAATCGATCGTACAAGATCGCCACGTGTTCGGACATATTTTCTCGCGTGTATCGTTCTCGTTTATTAAGTGGATACTTGATGATTTTCGGCCATTCGTAATAACCCTGAAAACTTTTATCCAAAAAACAAGTTTGCTCCCATTCGGCTTGCGTTTTTGGTGGTTTATAATCATTGATTGTCACCCATAAATTATCATCACGATCACCCGGATGACATTCGTTGTTGATTGACCGACGAAGAATCTCCTCAACCGTCTTTTGGACATAGATTCGAGGTGGTTTTTGCAGACGACATAGAGTAGAAATACAATGAGAGGCTACCTGAACATGTGCGCGAGATAACTTCTGTCAGTTAAATGTTTCAACTAACCTTTCGTAATTTGATATTGTCATGAACGAGAAAATCGAGGAATGTTCTAATGCATGACGTTGGTATAGGCACACGCTTTTGAAGAAGAAGGCCAATAAAAGCGACCGTTCTCTCTTGTTGTCGCCAGGTTCTAAATATTCGACAAATTAAGAATATCTTCTTTTCAAAAGCAACACTTGCAATCGATCGCCATTGTATAGTGAATTGAGTGCTTCCATGAGATTATTGTACGATTGAATGTTTGCTTGATTGCGTTCGTCCCGAGTTTGATCACATGGTTTTACTTCTTTGGATTCTAACGGACGCCAGAGAGCGACTGCTGCACGTATTGATATGGCGTTGGTATCCTCGATGATTGCTGGTGTATCGAATTGTTTGACAATTTTCTCCACAACTTGATCGATCAAGTTTTGTGTGCTGATTTTGATGGCATGCATCGTTCCTGCGATGGATGGCCACAGTTTTTCAAACAATGACCATGAACTTTTTGTAGGCAAGAAGACGAAATCGTCGCCGAGTAGAATGTATAAACAGCCCTAATCAATGAGATGCACTGATGATTTGAAAGAAACAACAGGGAACAAACTTTGATCCTGTCATGATCAACTTCACCTTGTGCATTAAGGAGTTCCAGAATACGATCGACAACCACGTTGTAGGAAAAGAGATAACGCTTTAAAATGCTGAACAGATAGACCTGTGCACCGCGTCGAACCTAAGATTTAATATCTATAATTGCATCTGTCTTTCTGACACCTCACTTACTTCACTGTATCGATTAATAGACAATTCTACTAGTTTGAGTATCACTTGTTTATCGATTTCCGTCATCGATTGATAGTTAATCAATGAAAACAACTGTGAAACAACAACCGTTATCACACTACAATCCTGTTCTCTAGTTACCTCAATTTGTTTTGCTAGAAATTTGATTATGACAAAACGAGGATGATGCCGTTTGCCACTGAGTTTATTTTCGAATGAGTATTTCAGTATATCAAAATCATTGCATAATTTATAATGATCACTCGTTAATAAGCCATAGTAGCTCGATGGTAACGAATAGATCTCAAATCAACTGCAAATAATTACAAATTCAGAAAGTTGACAAATACCTTAAGAGCTGTTAAAATCGATGATACATCGTCCGAATGTCTCTCGACTAGATGATCTATTGAAACGAGTATAATCAATGCGAATGCTTATTTTATTCTAAGACAACGAACCGAGTAACTTCCCAATATCGATAATCAAACGCATTCGCAGGTTTTCTTTGAACTCTAGAGTCGAATTCAGCTTTTAATTGTTATCAGATTGAATTTTGATTCACTTACTTGGTTCTTTGGCATAGACTGTATATTGAACTTTGTATTTGAAATCAAAAGGAGCAACTGATGATGCACTATCAAGAATAAAAATATTTTCCGATTGTCAATTTCTTGTTCAAGAACTACGCACAGATCTAATACTTCTTCACTATCAATACGTGGCACCATCCGTAAGCACCCAATAGCTATGAAAAGTACAAGTGTAAGAGATCGAAGTCGTTCATCGTCGGACATATCCGAGCATCTCTCATTCAATAATGTCAGTTCCGGATAGATGAATGTCTCGACAAATTCACACGCGAAATCCACTTCTTCTGCACTTGGTATATGGAATTGAGGCTGTAGCTTGTCAAATTCCACATGTTGACCCCATGCCTAAAAAAATAGATTGTTACCTTTTCTTCCTGAAACAAAAAAAACTTACTCGAATAGGCAAAAAGTCACTGAATGGTTGATCGATGTTTTCCACTGTCAATCGATAATCGATTGGATAGACATACGAAAGAGATTTGAGCAAGTTTTTTGCTGCATTGGCAATAGCTTCATATGATTCTTTGTGAATGATATGAATACACCGATGAAAGATGGATAAAATCATCGTTTTATAGACGAGTAAAGTATCACCGCGAGCTCGGAGAAGTTCGGAGAAGAGAACTAAACACCAGGTGAGTTCCATATCACCTTTTTGATCGGTAAGTATGGTTGTTTCGGAATCATGCATTATTTTTTCAATGCGTTCGCATGTTTGTGGCATGAGATAATTGAGTGTTTCAATTGGATTAGCTTCGAGAATCGGCTGAACCAGACCAGTGAGTAATTTGCTAACTCTCGGTGTAAATGATGAAGCGGCAAGAAAGTTCGTGATCTTTTGTCGGACCATCTAGACACACAAAAAATATATCATCACAATTTTCTCATTTCGCAGTTGTGTATTTTATCTACCTGAAAGATTTTATTACTGCACTGTTGAACCACGCCAGTGATCACCGCTGCAAGTTCTATCTCAATAGTGTCATTTTTCACAGTCGTCTCTACACGAGTATCGGACACTTCAGTCGAGAGAATATCGATCATTCGAAAAGTTCGGTTGAGAAATTCAGTGATGAAATCTTCGAATTTTGCTGTTGACAAACAGACTTCTTTTTCGATCTGTACGAGCACCAAACAACACAACACTTTACCTGGAGGAATTAACTATGAATCTGTCCTACCTCAGTGAGATCGTTTCGGATATTGATTGCTGATGAACAATCGATACAAGTAATAAGCATGAGAATCGCTTTTAGAAATTGAAAAGTCTCTTTTGTCTTATCGAAATCGTTTGAATCAATGCCAGGCAAAACAGACATCAGCAAGGGTAAGACATATATTTGACCCTGGGGAAAGTTCGGTGTTTGTTGAACGATTTGGCGTGTGATGCCTGTTAGGCAACTCAAGATTGATGTAAAACGATATGGTTCAGTTATGCTATCAACGGATGAAAACAGTCTATAGACAAAAAAAAACGAAACATTCGATCAATTGAATAAATAAAAGTGACAGACTGTTCGACAATATGTGGCACGACCAGTTCTGGTCGAAGCATAGCCAGATACCGGAACGCCTCTGCTGCATCTTTTCGATAAGTTTTGTTGAAAATGGACATGAAGACACATTCTTTGACACAATTCACAAAATCAGTGATATCCTGGTCGGTTAATCGATAGGACTGAAGTGGCTTAAATTGCCAAATGCGATCTGCTTTGCTTTCTCTACAATTGATAGGATTATCAGTATAAATAGGGTACAGTTTAAACTTACAGATGGACTCGATCGACAAATGATTGAGTTAATTTGGCAAGAAATTGAACTAGATCTTGTTGAAAGTCACCCGTGTTTGACGGATGATAAAAGCTTTTGATCGCCGTAAATAAATGTCGTACGTACTGAAGACATGAACTTCCATTACCCATCATCGCTACGATCAATAATGCAACGATATGTATTGAATAAATGTTTTTCTGTCGTGTTCTTAAAAGACTGCCCACTGGAAGTGATAAATTTTTCAGAAAACGTGTAAAAATCTAGATGAGAAAATGAGATTATTAGGCTGAATCTGTGCAAAAGAAGCCATACTCGTGGGAGCCAAGGTTTCCAATCGATGTATCCAATATTGTGCCAAGCGACAACGGCAAAAAGACGGATCATCTTCTAAAAGTCCCCGTAAGAATCGATAAATGTAATCAATGAACATGCTTACCCCTTCCCAATTTGGGTTACTACAGACACTCTCCCAAATGCCGAGAAACTCCGGTAACCACAATCTTAACATCGATCGATATATTACTCTCAACAAGCCCAGAAATTCAAAAGCTTACTTGAATCCTTGATTATGTAAATTAGGCGGTAAATTAACTGGCAGAAAGAGATGAAAAAAATACATAGCATCGACGAAAGCCGAATCGAATGGACAAAGCCATGGGCGAAATTCATCTAAGATTTCCTGAGTGGATGTTGCCGAAAAGTAGAAACGACAATAGTATATGCAATTGGATAACGATTGCTCAATGTCACTGAAGAAACGAGAAACAACAGTAGAAGTTATTTTGCCGATCGAGTACTACTCACTTAGGCATTACTATCAGCGAATAGTCTTGATCATGATGGAAACGAATAAGTTTAGTCCATTGATATAATAATCGCCAATCGATGATTAATTCGTCTCGAGTGATTAGGTGGATTTTTCTAGAATATGCATTAATAATGATTTCTTCTAGGAAATTTTCGCCATTATGCAAACGTAGACAAGCAAAGAAAGCAAAGATACGAACCGTAAGAGTTTTTCGAGCAGATCGAAACATATTTTGGCATGCGGAAAACTTAAATTATCAATGGAAAGTACGGAAAGATAAAAATCGATCAGTTTGAGATGATCGGCTTTTGTAAAACAGAAGCTGTAAAGTGATATGAATTGTTGCAATTTGGAAGACCAAATTGAAAAACCCGGTTGTATTTCACGCAATTGAATAATACGTGAGAGGTGCATACGGATCTCCTCGAACGCTTCATAAGATTGGCGTTGAATTGAATTGTAGAAGGGCAGGC